GCTCAGTGTGCACTGAGGGACCCTCTGGGTTCTGATTTTCTCTGCCTCTTTGGATGAAAATAGAATTTCCCACCATTTTCCTCCACTTTGTTTGCACTTCTTTTCCTTTCTCAGCTCATCGCTGTGATACAAGTACTCAGCAGTGAATTTGTTACTGTCCAGACAGAGGTACTGGATTCCCATGAGACTCCAGCAGATCCCTTGGATCTGAAAGGTTTCTCAAAGGGAGGAACAGAGGGCATTTGGCTGCCTTCTCACAGACTCCTGTTATCATGGGAGCACAGAATGGATCTGGGTGGAAGAGATCATTGTGATTTAAATAGTCCAACTCTTTTGCCATGACACAAGCATCCTTCACTGCATCATATAAGGTTGGAGCAAACCTGTCCTTGAACCCTTCCCAAGTTGGGACACCCCATCATTCTTTAGGCAACATTTCCCAGTCTCTTATCCCAGTCATCACAGTAAAATTTTTCCTCATGTCTCTTCTGTATTTATCCTATTTCAGTTTCAAACTCTTCTCTTTGTCCAATTATTGCATGTTTTGAGAAAATATCTCTCTCCAACTTCTTCATTCATCCCCTTTACATATCAAAAGGTGTCCCCAGAGCCTGCTCTTCTCCTGCTTGAAAAAATCAAGTCCCTCAGCCTTTCTCCATGGTAGGGACAATGCATCCATGTGATCATTTCTGCAGCCCTTGTCTGGAGCTGCTCTAACAGATCCATGTCTACTTTGGATTAAGGACTCCTAACTGGATTCAGGGTTCCAGGTTGGGTTTAAGAAGAGCAGATAAAGTGGAGAATCTCCTCCTTTACCTGCTGGCCATGTTTCTGTTTGTGCAGCCCTGAACCTGATGGAATTTCTGAGCTGCAAACACACATTGCTGACTCATGTCCACTTTTCAATCTCCAGTGTCCCCATGTCCTTTATTAAAGGTCTGCTCTCAGTCCTTTCTTCTCCCAGACTGTTCTGATATTGTGGATTTCCAGAATGCAACTTTCCTGGGAGAGTTTCTAGGGACAGGAAGGCAGGGAGGGGCATCAGGTGTGGGCTGAGGGTCTCCAAGGGCTGTGCAGGAGCAGCTGAGGGAGGGGAATGGCTGAACTGCTGCAGGACGCAGGTGGGCATGGTGACACACATCCCCAGAGAGTCCAGATTTGAAGCTGTTGCTGTTGAGACGGTCACAACATCCAGAAGAACACCATCCACTTCAGAAGGCTTCTCACTGTTTATTTTAACAGCTTCCTGTCTTTTATACCTTCTCACAAAGTTTATACCCATTCATTTGCTACAATAAATCAGCATAATGTTCATTGGTGCAGGGAGATCTCCACCGCTGTTTTCTGCCAATATCCAACTCAAGGCCCCCCTGTTTATCCCTTCTTCTCCTTGGTTTCCATATCAACAACCTTGGTAGGACTCCTTTCAGGGGCAGAGGTGACTCTTAGCAGCTTCTCTTCTTCAGCTAGTTCTTTCTGGCTAACAGACCAGCTGTCAGCCCCTTCCACATGATGGTGGCTTTGTAGCAGCCAACCCTGTCCCATGGCTCAGTGTGGAAGATCAGACAGCTACAGAAGCAGAGCTGGGCAGTGCCACCAACCTTTTGGCCCTGGTAGAATGAAAACTGAGGGGGAGATAAACTCAAGGCAAGAACAGAAGTGAAGACATCATGTCTGGTCACTCTGACCCCCTGATGCTGACCACTCTGATGAGGGAAGATTAACAAGGACTTTGCTGGTAAAAGAGGTAACAAGGACATTACTAGTGTGAGAATGATAATCAAGAAGATTTTGTTTTTAAAGGGACTAGGACAAAGCGGTCTGAGAGGAAGAGAGGAAGATTTTGTACGAATGTAGTGGCCTATAAATATTTGTGTAATAAACTGGCTTTCCTCTGCTGGCATCAGTTCATGTCTGTGAATCCCCACACTCCAGTCTCTGAAAAGGATGAGGTGCTTTTGTGGTAACACCATCAAAACAGGTGGAGCTGCCAGGAGTGTTCCTGGACACCAAGGAGTGTCATCAACATCCTGGGCTATCAGAGCACAACTGTGAACAGGATATTAATGGGAGCAAAGATCCCACTCTGCTCTGCACTCCCCAGATGGCATCAAGCATGCTGTGCTGCCTACTGGACTGTAACTCAAAAACATCTCCAGCAAGGGAAGTGAAATACATGAAGATTGACCAGAGTGGTGAGTAAGCTGGAACATTTACTTGTGGATGAGAAGCTGAGGGCACAAGGTTGCTGACAACATGAGAAAACTTGAAAGATTTGTTGGGAGAACTAAAAGTATTTTTGGAGTATTGGTGGTCATTGAACTGTGTGGGGCAATTCCTGCACATAGAGAGATGCAGAGTAATTTAAAAAGGTGACACTAAATATGAGTAAACAATGCTGTGTTAACATAATGAATGTGATGTTGACAACCATGACAACACCTCTTCCAACAACACCCTCCCAGAACCACACAGCAACAGCTCTCTCACTGGATATGTTGGGTGAGAAGGTGCAGGGGAAAGGATGACACAGAGGCACAGACTGGGATGCAGCAGAGCTTTAATGAGTCAAAAGGTGAGAAAGAAGTCACTCTGAGTGGTAGAGAGAGCAATGATGCTCTATCCCTGGGCTTGGACCATCCTAGGAGTCCCTGGGTTCCTTCCCAGGGAAGGAAACTTCCAGCTTCCAGCAGCTTCAGCAGGGGAGGCCACAGATGCCACTGCCCAGGCCAGAGAGGCCAAAGCCCCCAGAGCTGATGGGCACTCCCTGAGAGCTGAGGATGCTGCCAACAGCAGCAGAGCTGGAGGATCCCACGGCGGTGTTCTGGGGGAAGGAGCTGAGGATGGGCCCGGGCAGGGTCACCACCACGGGCGAGGGCTGGATGAACACGGTGGAGTCCTGGCACTGCCTGACACAGGGCTCATTGCAGCTGCTGCCCAGCGGGGTGGGGCCACAGGGCTGGCAGGGCTGGCACCGGGGGTAGCAGGACATGGCTGGGGGCTGCAGGTGCACCTGTGAAAGAGAGAAGAGAGAAGCAGACTCAGGGCTGAGTGAGGGGACACTGTTCATCCATCATCTGGAGAAAAGCCAGAAGCGCAAAATTGCACAATGATGTTTAGAGACACCCACCAGCCTCAATTCCTACTCAGCCATAAGGAATCCCCCTAAGAGCGACCAAGCCTGGGCCCTTCCACAGCTCAGGATACATCTAAGTCAAAACCCAGCCTCTCTATATGCCCAAGTTCTGCCCCTTCCCTCTCCCATAACAAGCAGCTCTCCACAACCCACATGGAACCACAGGGGCGGATAGGCTCTGAAAACTCAAAGGAAGAATAAAAGAAAGGGCTTCAGACTCACCTTGTTCTCAATGAGATGGAGGTGGGAGGAGTGAATGAGAGAGCAAGAAGAAGGTCCCCCTTTTATACAGCTCCTGCACTGCCCCATTCCCCCAGGCACTGCACAAGGACAGTAATTTTCCAACACATTCACCTCCAAAGCAAAATACCCGCCCTAACGCCACACGTTGTGGTTTGGTTTCCATCCAGGCTGACATTTCACTTCCTCATTTCTGACACACTTGTTCTGTGCTGCAGCTCCTTCCACGTGTGCCAGGCCAGGCTTGAGCACTCCCGGGATCAGAGGTGTCCCTGCAGGCACAGGAGGGGCCCCCAGGCCAGAGAGTCCCTGCAGGCAGGGGATGTTGGCTCAGGGCAGTGCCTTGCCCCTGTTGGCAGCTGCCTCTGCAGGGACAGCCCTGCTGACACATTTCCCTTCACAGAGAAAAGCAAGGCACAATTCTTCCCAAGGGTTTCTGAGATTCACATTCTCTGAACCTCAGAGAAAGGGAAAACACGTTTCTTATCACTTGCTGTGCCTGTGTTTGTGCAAAAGTAGAACGCAATATGGAGATTGTTTACCCACAGTGGTGGTGTTTTGTTTCCTTGGGCTGTCAGGGCCAGGTGTGTGTGTGTGTGTCAGGACTGTCACTGACAGCCATGAGATTCTGTGCAGTGTGAGCAGAGTGAGTGCTTGGCAGATTCAGTTGAGATGAAATGTATATAGCATAGTATAATAAAGTAATTAATTATTTCTGATATCAATGGAGTCAGAAACATCATTTTCTCTCCCCTTCATTGGAGTTGCCTTTGATTTACACCAGTCAGGTATCTGGCAGGATGGAGGCACCTGTGACGAGTAAAAGAAGTTAGAAAAGCTGGCAGCAGCTTAGGCATCCTGTGGGCAAGGATTAAGAAAGGTCCAGGAAAAACACAAGAAACCAAGAGGACCTCTGAGCACAGGGGATGTGCTTAAGGGGTACAAAACCAGGCCACATCAAGGAGTGCTGCACTTCCCTGCCCTGCAGACATGGGGGGAGCTGGGATGCATCCCAGAGGGCAAGAGAATGCCTTCAGTAGGTAAATTTCCAGGGAGAGACTCTCCCTACCTGTGGCGAGTCATGCTCTAATTTTGGGTTGGCTGTGTGTCAGCCTTTTGGTGAAAGGCCAAACCAGGAGGGTGTGATGTCTGCAAGGATGAGTCTCCCTCCAGCAAGGGCAGTTCCTACTATGCAAAGAGAAAACATCTCCAACACTGGACTGTAGCCAAGCCCAGAGCTCCCAACAGCCACATTCACACCTTGCCCTCAGCAGGACATTACTGTCTGCCAAAGAAGGTGGAAATCAGTGTTACCATTTTTCCCTGGTCCCATGATCCCTTCCTTCCAGAGACACCTCCAGCACATCTTCTGCCTGTGCTGATGCGTCCCTGCATGGGAAATCCTTCAGTCTTTCATCTCAATACTTGAAAGGAATCCTTGGATGCCTAATGATCACGTCAGGAATGAGGCAAACAAATGGCAGTGTTGATGGAAATAAAAGCACAGCCTGTGGTGTTAGGGAAGATATTTTGCTTTGGAGGTGAGTCTGTAGGAAAATTACTACCCTTGTGCAGTCACTGTGGGCCTGGGGCAGTGCAGGGGCAATATAAGAGAGAGCTCATCCTCACTCTCTCATCCACTCCTCTCGCTTCAGTCTGCTTGGATCAAGGTGAGTTGGGTCACTTTTCTCCTCTCCTTCCTCCTCCTCCTCCTGTTTTCCAGTGCATACCTGTCACTTGGTCCTTTGCTGCATCGTGGGGCTGCTCTGTGAGATGTGGAATGTGAGAGAGGGTCGCAGGGAGGGAGGCTGGGGCTTTGCTGAAGTGGGTGATAGTCTGGGCAGGAGCATTCTGAGATTGGTTACTCTTGGCAGGGAACCTGTGGGCTAAACCTTATCACTCTCTACAATTTCCTGAAGGTTACCTGTAGTCAGGTGGGGTTGGGCTCTTTCTCCAGGCAGCACTGACAGAATGAGAGGTCACAGTCTCAAGGTTCATCAAGGGAAATATAGGTTGGATACTAGGAAATAGTTTTTCATGCAAAAGGTGATGAAGTTCTGGAATGGTCTGCCTGAAGAGATGGTGGTCACCATCCCTGGATGTGTTTAACAAAGCCTGGATGTGGCACTGGGTGCCAGGGTTTAGTTGAGGTGTTGAGGCTGGGTAGGATGATCTTGAAGGTCTCTTCCAGCCTTGTGATTCTGTGATGCTGTGAAATGTGAGGAAGAACCTGTGGACATCCCTGCATCTCCAG